TCTGTTATGTTCGCTAGCAAGTTCGCAGTGCAAGTCTAGGGAGAGTTTCTTCGTTGTGCGAAGGATTCTTCGCAGTGCGAGTCTGGGACGAGCTTCGTTCTCTGTGTGAAGGATTCTTCGCTGTGCGAACACGCGATGACAGCAAATGTTGTTACGTACCAGAACCTAAAATCAACCTAAAAGTCCCACGGTTCACTTCCCCAATAACCCCAAAACATCCCTAAATCATCCCTAAGGTCTTACAGCGATAAAGGAACAAAATCTATGACTTATTAGGCCAATCCCGTATCATATTCATGCTCTAAATCCCATAAATCCTTACAACTATACCACAGTCATTGGAGTTCCTCATTATCAAATTTCCCTACAGGGTTAGACAAATGTCAAATCAGAGCTTTGGCCATGAAGGCTTAATTTCCTTTAACCCAAATAAATCCCTACGGTTAAAATCTCAATAATAGATTTAGGCCACGAAGACCAAATTCCCTTTATTCCATAATCAGCCTCAAATCCTTTAAACCCTTAAATCGACCTTAAATACATTGAAATTACACATTGAAAACAATGAAGGCAATACTCCCCATACCTTAATTTCCGACTCTAAGCCTTCTCAAATCTTTCAGAAAACCTTTCGAAGTTTTTGCCTCAAATATCCTCCTCAGAGCTCTGGCCTCAATTCTTCTCACGGTCTAACAAAATGAATCCTAATCCTATCACAATTCCCTTTTTGTTAAACCTAACCTTGGGTCTATAATTTGGGCTTTTCCAATATTAGCCTCACTAACTCCTCCTCAATTGTCCAATTTGCCCTTAGTTAACTTATATTATTTAAATTAATAATAATACTAATATATTTATATTATATACTATTATTTAGATAAATAACCCAAATTCCATAATTCTCAATATTCAATAACAACCACCGAAAATCACTGAAATGCGAATATTCTTATTTAAATAAATTAAATAAATATTCCAATTAAAATTTGGGGTGTTACATAGTGTATAAATCAAACTTTTGAAACACTCTCTCATTTAAGTGATGTAAGTGGTCCACTTGTTAATTCTATATATAAGTTGATGTCTCTCTCTTATTATGGTACAAAGACACTCTTTCATTTAAGTGATGTAAGTGGCATACTTGTTGATTCTATATCCAAGTTGAAGTCCTTCTCTTATTATGCAAATATCCCTTATATTTCTATGTTTGTGGTGGTATAGTTGAGCAGTCCCTCTTAAGATGACAACATGCCTTTTCTCCTAAAGACCCAACAAACATTGCTTTTACCCGTAGTTCTTTGAACTACAAAATGCTCTGACTTCCTCTAGGGATATGTAGGCATAGAATTACGAGATCCTAGTGAGCACACCTTTTTATTTTCACCCCTCTTTATTCATATACATTACAAAAAAAACAAAAACATTTTCCACTCCCCTCACTCACTCAAAACAATCAACTCTCCCAATTAATAGCAAATAACACAAATATTTTAAGAGGTTCCTATATGATACTATAAATATTTAGGGTGTTAGTACCTTCCCTTTGTATAATCAACCCCCGAACCTTAGATCTTTTATTGCATTGTTTCACATTGCATATTTATGGATTATTCCTTATTTACCCCTTCCCTTGGATAAATTAAAGTTCGATGGCGATGTTTTGATTTGTGAGCCAAGTTAATCCAATAGCTTGGTCTCCCGATTCATCCAAAGCGCACCACAGTATGGAAGAGAAAGGGATCTAACCCAAGAGAATCCATAGAAAATTGGATACCTATAAAGTACTATTATTTTTTTTAGATACTTGAAAATTATATGCTAGCATTGTCAATTCAAGATTGATCTTTCAAGATACAAGATCATATGATATGGTAGAATTAAAGCTTCATTGGGTTAAAGATGATATGAAGAAGATTGATATCAAATCATATATTATGAATAGTATAAGTTCTTTTATGTTTAATGTATCATTTCTCTTATATTATTATGTTTCCTTGGACTTTACTCTTTTGCTTTTTGATAATGTCAAAAGGGGGAGAAGAGAGACAGTTTTTTTCCAGCATACCAAAGGCATCATAACATAAATTGTAAAATAAAGAGGGAGATGTGCAAGATATAAGGAGATATACAAGATAGGGGGAGCAATCAAGAATCAAGTAAAAACTTCTCATCGATATATTATATCATCATAAAAAAAGAAGAGATTGTGAAGATGTTCTTCACAACAATTTTTCTTGTTGGGATGGAACGACCACTTGCCTGAGCATGAGGCCTCATTCTTGCATCTCTCCCAAAACTACCTCTGAGTTATACCTTACGCCCGCCCCTTTATTTGGTAGTGAATTTCCTAATGTGGGGGACATTCTGGGTTTCGTCGTTTAGGTCGACCGCACATCTGATTCCTACCTCATTTTCCTCTTCATTGAATTAAGAACTCCTCTAGGAGGGTGTGTCAATTTTGACAGGTAACATGGCGTTAGCATCGTAAACTATGGTAAATAATGTCTCTTTGGTGGTTGAATGTGGGGTAATGTGATACGACCATAGCACTTCATGAAGTTGCTCGACCTAGAGCCTTTTTTCCTTATCAAGTTTTTTTATTTCATCCAATATTACCTTATTTGTTGATTTATCTTTCTCGTTCTCTTGTGGGTGAAGAACAAAAATAAATTGTCTGCACACCTAGGTCACGACAAAAATCAACCACGATGGATCTAGTGAATTGAGTATCGTTGTTAGAGATGGTCACTCATGGTAAGCCAAACGAGCATATAATTTGTTGCCAATAGATCATCTCTCAAAGCCAATTGGTCCCTAGTTGGAAACTTATTTAGGATTAAACGCCACCCAAAAGCATGAATCATGGACGATATTTTGGTAGACCAGAGGTGATACAATGCCTATAAGCTATTGTGGTCCAGAATTATACTCGTATCCTGACTTGTCAAGAGAAAATAACCAGTTCAGATTGAATAAAAACCATTAGAATAGGGTTTTCACTCAAAAGTTTCATCTACATTATGCTGCAACGTTACATCATTCAGAATGAGCAGAAGTGCTTCTAATTCCACTCTTACATCCTCTGATATAATGCCACACGCAATTTGAAAATCCCACGTCAAATTACTTCCCACATATGATCTCATCTCCAGCATATTGCCCCATTTCTTGGAGTACATTTCAAAAAACCAAGGAGGAGGGAAGCATTAGAGGTTCTGATTCCAACCACTTGTGTCTCCAAAACAGAATTACGTTACTCGACCAAACCCAACAAGGAAGACCATTGTTGAACCAATAATCTCCCTCCACAAGTTATTTGCCAAGGGACATGATATCCCTCCAACAAATGGAATCATTGGTGTTAATTCTCGGCTCCCCACCCCTTATCACTTGAGATTTCATGTTGTCATGTCTATGATGGAGGACACCAAACCAAATGGCTTCTTTATCCATTAAATATCTCCATCTTTGTTTATTGATTAAGGCCAATTAAACGCTTCGACATCTCTAATGCTTAAACCCCCCTCCTTTTTATACCTACAAATGTCATTCTTCCAACTCACTAACATGTCCCTTTCTTCTCCATACAACCATTCCACAAGAAATTTTTCTAGATTTTGATAAAATCTTTCACCACCTTTAGAGCTTTAAAAAGAGGGAAAGTAAATAAGGAAGGTGTTAAAAATAGAATTGGTCAGAGTGATCCTACAATCAAACGATAAAAATCTACCCTTCCAAGAAGATAACTTCCTTTTTAGAGATTCGACAATTGCCATTAAAGTTGAAACTCTCCTATGATTGGAATCGAATAGGATGCCTAAAAATTTAAAGGGGATAAAATCCAATTCACTGAAAAGGAACTGAGAAACACACTGCATAAAATTTTCAAAAATATTCAAATCCATAAAGCTAACTTTTGAAGAAATTCATGCTTAGTACAACGACTAGGTGAAAACCCCTATGCAAAACTTTGATGCCACAAAGGTTGTTCCAAGATCCGTTACCAACAAGAATGTTGTCATATACAAATTGCAAAATATTGTATTCTGCCATATTTTAGTAATGCTTAAAGCAAGTGTTTTCCCATTGAAAACCCAAAACATGATTAGTTTAGATTATGGGTGAAAAGTGGAATATGTTACTTGTAATGTAAGACTATATTTATTGACAAAATAAAATGTAGACAATTACCTTTTAATCTAAATTTATCTAATCTAAATCGTAATATGAAACTTTATTTTAAACTCAAATAGCTATTTGTTATTGATTCTCAAATACATATAAAACACAAAGAACACAAAAATTTAAATTAGGATGGTCTTTAAGGGCGTGTAAGACAAACTATCGTACAAAACTCAAAATTTGTCAAAATAAAAATGTGATTTAATAGGGTCTCACAAAATATTATTATAATTAAATTGTAATTAAACAAAATCTCTATTTATTTTGTCATGATTAAACTTCTACACATGTCTTTCAAAAGTTTGAGATTAGTCTGACCCAAAAGCTAGTCCAAGCAATGGTCATGAGCTTCAAACACATAAATAAATAAATAAATGCTAAGGGAGAAAGGATGGAGAATGGCCCTACAATCAACTTGAAAATGAAGGTTGATAAGTCAAAGGTGAACTCACTATGATGTTAAAGATACCATTGCTAAGATTCAATGAGTTAGTTTCCAAGAACATAAGAAGAGACAATATGCTTTACTCAATTCTTTATGAGAAATTTCATTAAATCAAAGCTAAGACAAATGAAGTTACAAAGCTTACATAATTAAGGCAAGTCTTTTCCATTTCCTAAAATGGGCTTATCTAGGCTTCAATTACTAGGACCACACTAAACTATGCTAAGTGTAAAACAACAAAAATACTATATTCTCTTACACATGTCATCAACTAAAAACAAATAAAAATAATAATAATGCACATATAAACAACTAGACTGCAACTTCCTCTACAAAATGGGCAGAACTTGATCCGAAATCAATGTCGTCTACTTCATGCAGAACTTGATCCGAAATTAATGTCGTCTACTTTATGTATAAACACTTGAGGAGGCTCTACTCTTCTGTAAATAGCAAAGAGCAAGAGATATAATCAAATGAACCAGAAATAAAAGTAGTAGAAATTTCATGGTTCGCGAAAATGAAAAAGTTATAAGAATTACTCACTTTTCTTTTGCTTCTCGGTAAGTATAACTCGATGCTACAGCTATAAGCCATCCCGAATGGTTGTAAGATAAGGATGCAACACTATTTGAGTATTTTGGAAACTGAAATTGAGAAAAATACTGAGCTGATGACAAACATCATAACAAACTAGTGATTCACAAGTTTGACGGTTGGTAGGAAAATACCTCAATCAGTCTTTTCGTACTTCTAGCATCCCATATGGAAACATAACCCTCATCATTACCGGTGACAAATGCACGAGACACACTAAACAGAAATTATACAAATCAATTTTCAAGTTTTATAATTTATAATAATTTAAAATGACAGCTTAATGATAAGAAGACACATACAGTGGACTGAACGCAATGTCATTTATAGATGTCAAATGGTACCGACCATCTTTTGATTTCGGATGATATCGGAATGCATATCTGTCAGAGGTTAGGTGATATAACAAATTATTAGAACTTGTGTCTGTTGTTATTGAGAATTTTCAAAGTTGTGTTAAATACGCATACGAGAAATGGAAACAGACCCAGTGTCATTTAAATTTGATGAATTTGAAACATGCAATGCAACTCGTCCATCCATTGATCCGGCTGCAAATCCTGCAAGATCACTAGTCAATGTAACAGTATGTTTCTTATTATTTGCATAGCTTTTAGGACATGGTTAACCAATCAATATAACTGTGTGTTTCAAGGATGGTGGTTACCAAATCCTAATATATGTTAAATCTACGAAGTAACGTGTTTCCGGGTTGACAATAAAATCATACGGATTTGATAGTACATACCTTCTGCATAAGGAATCGAACTGACACATCTTAATTGTGTACCACTACAAGGCTCCATTGACAAAGTTGGTTTGTCAAAGTTTCGTAAATCAAAAACATGGGCAGTTGCTTCAATGCCTACGGTAACCTTAAACCCCGAGACAGACATGGATTCTATCTCTTCATCTAAACTCCTCGACAATGAAGAAGCCTTCTTCGTACGAACGTCCCATGACAATAACTTGTTGTCAGATCCCGAAGTAATTAACAAACCTGCAACAATCAAGATCTTAATATGAACTTGGACAAAATAAAGCATGACCTTGACAGACCTATCATTTGCCCAAAACAAACATTCAAACAATTTATAACTACTATGAGCTACCCAACATTCTCTTTAATGACTCTGTTTCCAATCTTATCTCATCTTGTGTCCATTCATATAACAAATGAAAAACAATAAAAGTAAAAAATTTTAACCGAAACAAATAGAAACAATGAGCAAAGATTAGGTAAAGTAACTTACATGTTTCATTGGAATATCCAATGCATGTTGCCATGTCATCGTGATTACCGATTTGATCAACAACTCCAGAATACAAGTCATACCTATAAATTTGAGCTTAACAGAGGTCATAAACAAACTAAAGAAAAAGCAAAGCACACATGCATCATAATCAACAAGAAAAGCTCATAACAAAATATCACTAGGATCCTAACAGAAAGCCATGTTTGTGAGGGCCACCACATAATGACCACATGGAATATAACACAAGATATGCTAAACAATCAACTCAAAGGATAGTTCAGAATCTGATACTGCACTTTCCATTTGCTTTCAACGTTAATTTTTAAATCAACAAATAAAAAGTTAAAAGTAAGAAACAATATACTATGATGCTTTCTTTATTTCTTATACAGAACATTTTGTTTGTATAAAATGACAGAACTTTAAGAGTTAGAGGTAATTGCAATGTTGTCTATGTACATCTATCTTACACCAACAATCAATAAAACTTACTACTTTACCATTTCATACATGTGGCAAGATGGATTTTCATTAGACTTCAATGTAAATCTGGTTTACAGCAATGAAGCATGGATTCGATACGGAGATACGTCACTCATTGAAAAATCTAGGATATTATACGTTTAGGATATGTATATAACAAATTAAAATTAAACATTAGCTAAATCATTCTCTAACAAAAACCAATTGAGTTTGCAAAATTTAATAGTAATTGGTAAAGGAATTATTAGAAAAAGAAAAGATAGTTAAAGTTGAGAGAAAAGTAATTATAGGAAAAGTTTGGTTGTTGTAAAAAAAAATTGAAAGTGATGAGGTAGCTAAAGTTGAGAAAAGAAAAATTAAGGTTGAGGAAGATTAATCCATATTCTAGAAATATGAATAGTCATGAGATTAACAAGCCGTATCTGCAGCATATCAGAACGTGTTGCTGCCATAAGTTTACCCTAAAAAATTTCATTAGCAATAATTATACCCAAAAATTCCATTAATGTAGTTAGTAATGAAGAAATTTAGGTGCAGATTTGCCCCCTTTTAGCCATAACAACAAAAAAGAAGAGAGAAAGGGAAAACCTTGTGATAAATCCACCAGAATCAGCTGCGAAAGCAACTGTATCTTCACCTGTGAAGCAACAATCGAGAAGAGCGAATTCCGAAGGAGATTCAAGTCTGAGAACTGAAGCGTTGAAATCGTATAAACGAAGACACTGAAAAAACCCTCATAATGAAATTGATTCAGTGAAGTGAATGAATACTTCAGTTAACAAGAATTAAGAAGAAAGAAAAATAAAACTTACAGTATCCCAAGAAGAAATGAGAAGGTTGTTAGAGTGAGGAGCAAATTGGATTCTGGAAATAGCGTTTCTAATTGGAAGCTCCAACTTCGATTGCGAGCCATTTGTGCTCATTTTTCAGTTCACGGTTTCAATTGTACTTTGAATCAACAAAAATTTGTTCTTGGCGCTTTTGTGACATTTCCAAATTATTTTGTTGAGGAAATAAGTCAATCGGATAAATATGATTTTTGTATGCACAATCTCAACAATTGGATCTGTGGCGCAATGGTAGCGCGTCTGACTCCAGATCAGAAGGTTGCGTGTTCGATTCACGTCAGGTTCAATATTTTGATATTCCGCCTTTTTATTTCATTTTTCCATCCATAGGATTTTGCAAAAATTAAAATAAAATATCAAGAATAACAAATAAAATGTGATATTGCAATGACAAATAAAAGACACCCTTTCACTAGTTCAAGGGTTACGTTCTTTTAACTTTAAAAAAAAAAACTTTAATATGATATATAAATTGAAATGTTTAATATAAATTGAAATGTTAATAAATGGATCAAAACAATCATAATTTTTAAACAATACACTAAATTTTTCTTAAAATTATTCAATTCAATCTATCCATTAAAAAAATTCAACAAATTCATTTATTAAAAAAAAATCCATCAAATCCATCTATAAACATATTTTTAATTTTAGTGGATGGATATCCATCTAAAAAAAATTAAGTATTTTATTTTGAAAAAATCAAATTTTTTATTTTTTAAAATAATTAGTTTTTTTATTTTTGAAAAAATCAAATTTTTTTATAATTTTTAAAAAAAAATCAATTTTATTATTTTCAAAGAACCATCAACTTTTTATATTTTCGAAAAAAATCATATTTTTTTGGAAAAAACTTAGATTTTTTATATTTATAAAGAAATTTTTTTGATATATTCGTAAAATAATTGAATTGTTTTTTTTTTGTCTTTTCTAAAAAAAATGAATTTTTGTACTTTCGAAAATAAAATCAGTTTTTTTTTTTTTGTATTTTGGAAAAAAATCGAATTTTGTATTTTTCAAAAGATCAACTTTTTTATTTAAAAAAGTTTTTTTTTTTGAAAAAAACAATATTTTTTTTAAATTCATTTTTTTTAAATAAATCTAACAGAGTTAAAAATAATTCATTGAATCATTAAAATATGTTGGATGGATCATACCAAATCATACATATAAATAGATGAATTTAATCTAATTAATTAACTTACATTTTATGTGATGAATGATGAATTAGATGAATTTTGTCTTTAATAAATCCAAATGTCACCCCTACTCTAATCTAAAGTATATTCGTTGAGCTTGATATTATTATATAGAGAAATGCTTTCATGACACTGAATTATATATTTTACACCGTAATGTATATTATGAATACATACTTATCAGATTTTAATATTTTTTTATTCCACTTTGATATCTGTGCAGCACTAAATTAGCTATGAGAATACGGTGTAAGTTGAATACGGTGTAGCAAAGGAGTGTTAAAATAGCATAGCTGTATTATATAAGATTTGGCTTTATTTATATAAGATTTGACTTTATCTTATACAATAGATAAGAATTTTCTTAGTCATTAGTATCTCTTAACTATAAGCCAGATTATACAAGATGGGTTGAGTTATCTTTTTAACTATTCGCTAGATTATACAAAACGGGTTGAGTTTTATTTTTCTTTCTCAGCTCTAGGAAATTTCTTTCACAAGGAGAATATAGATGATTATATGATTCCTAAGTTTTTCATACTTCTATAATTATTTGCTGGTTTACTAATGTTCCCTTGAGGAATTTCAGTGTCTCAATCATATAGATTCTTCATGGTTTGAGTGGAGAATCATGATTTTTGCTAGCTAATGCCAAAATTGATTATTTTGGCTCAATTCTGCATCTGCCAAGGCTTAAGCTATCAGCTCTCTCTTATAAGCCAGTGAGAAATAACTTCAAACTTCATTTATAACAATTATTCATACTAAAAACAACAAAATCCTATCATAAAGTTAACAACAGTGCAACAAACCAAACTAACAATCGTAAAGTTAACAACAGTGCAACAAACCAAACTAACAACCATAGTACAACAAACCAAACTAACAGATAAAAGGTGGTACAAGATTTCTCATCAAAAACTAGTCACCCACCCTAATGGAAGCTTCAGCTTGCAAATATATACAGCCCTTCAAATTGACTTCACCGGTAAGGATTTTAAACAAACTCTACCTTCTGGGAAAGAAATCGAGATTCAAGATCTTTTGTTTCAAAATCAAGACGTTTCATCTGGAACAGAAAAATCAAATCTAACATCAACAGAACCTGAAATATCTCCAGTATCCTTATACTCAATATTTGTTATTGTCCCAGCTTCATCCACCTCTTGATATTCTGGCTTAACCCGCCTTACAGGCACTGTAACAGAGTAAATGGTTCCAAGATCTGTATCTGCAGAGACACTCAACTGAACATTATCCAGCGACTCAATTTCCACAAAACCTGATAGGGCGTCCACTATGTTATTAACGATTTTTCGCTTTGCCTCATCACTTAATTCACATCGGTCGGAGAATAAAACCATTTTCAAACGTTTCTTGGCGATCCCAGCATTGGAGCTTCTCTTAGCAACTGCTGATGGGAAAACTATATTCCAAGCCAAATTTAAACGCTCAAAGAAACTCATATTAACAGCACCAAGGAGAACGTTCTCGGCTTCTTGGCTAACTGACTTCGATGAAAATTTAGGACCTCCAAGGACTGCAAATACTGGCTTGCAATATCCACGCATATTGCTTCGTACAGTGGCCATGGTAGAATGTTTTGGAGTGAATTCAGATCTGCTGGATCCTCCATTTAAGAAACAATGAAAGTCCACCTATTAGACATGAAAATTAAGAGATGAACAGGACGCCATTTTCAAACATTTTATAAACCTTGTAAGGATTTTTATTGCGAAAACATGAACATTTATCAACAGTGTAACATTTAAGAAGTCAAGTCTCAACTAACTAAAACAATTTCAGCTATAAATATAATTGAATAACATTTTATAGAACCTTTTTCCCCTATACAAAATATCAGAAAGGAAAACATATGTATCGCATTCTCTTTTAGCAACCAACGTAAATAGCACAAAATGGCAAAATGCTAAATATATATTCTCCAATTTCTCTATGGGAAGAATCCGGTCAACTATAGATTACTCATACTTCCAATCAAATGGAATAAGGTGGAAAAACAGTTACGCATTCCACTTAGACCTGTTCAAAATTTTATAAGAACCTCGCCAAACCTATGAACAGTATCAAACTGGACTTAAAATAACCAACTTGTTGGAGTAATTCATGAACACAAGGCACCTTTTAAAACTTGGTTCGATAAACTGAAACTGCTTCAAAACAATATCAGTGAACCATGTGAACCTGAACCAATCAGAAGTTTTCTGTCAGTCTTCCAACTTAGTAAACTGTAATGGGCCGAGTAACATCCACAGCCTTAAACTTAGTACAGCAACTTAACATATTATCAAATGCGACTTTAGCGCATATATCAAATGCTGAGACATATGGAGAATATAACAGAGTAATCAATCCCGGATAGCGGCCGACCCAAAAAATAGGATGGCGGGATAGCAGGCGGCGGGATGACCGCTATTTGATCTATTTTGGACAAAATACATGAATAATTATTATTATTATTATATACATATAAAGTGCAAAGGGAAGAACGAAGTGCAGAGAGGAGAGGGAGGAGCTTGTGATTTTTCTCTGGAACTGGTGAAGTGCAGAAACGTTGGTGAAGGATGGTTAGGGTTGAGTCTCAACTCAAATTTGATTGAAACATTCAAAATTACCCTTAAAATGTTTTAAATTTAAGGGATAATTTCGGTTTTTCAGAGGGGAAAATGATAGTGGAACAGAAACCGCTCCGGACTGGGAACCACTCCGCCCCTGCTACCCTCTATTTACCCTATAACGACCGCTATAATGTTCTGCACCACTGAGACTCTTCCCATAGCGTCCGGACTCTGCTCCACTCCACTATTGCGGGATTGCTCTATTGACTACTCTAGAATATAATATATTCATATGTATTAAATATGACTAAAAATTGTTAAAATTATGACTTACTTTAAATATGAATAATGGCCATGGAAAGAAAAAGCCAAGGTGCAGCTACTTTTATATTTTGGTTGGTCTCTGATTTCCCAACTAGCCATTGTAAAATTATTCAAAAAAAAAAAGTGATACTTAGTCCAAAATTCTTGCTGCGTATGGTTACTGCACAAAGAAAGCTATCGCATAAAAAACCTCGCGTATCACTTCAGTTCAGTTCCGTTCGGAAGTGTTTAGATTTACAATAGAGAACCGACTTTAAGAAACAGTTTAATCAGTTCAGAGTATAAAGTTATCAGTTCAGTTCTAAAAACTGGATTGATTTCTAGTTCAATTCAGTTTGGTTCAGGTTTTCCCCTTGAACTAAACCATGGCCACCCCTAATTCCACTGATACATTGGGTCCAGAGGGCCTTGAAATAAATATAGTTGCACATTAATGAATTGTGGTTAATAACGTCTCATTGAAACTTTGAAACCCTTTTCCCCTTCATTTTTTCACTCAAATTTGCGATATAATTTTCAAGGAATTCTATCACCATATGGTGATAGAATTCCTTGAAAATTATATCACAACATTAATAATCGGCTGCCGAGATTTTGGCAAAAACTAAACTTCCAAACGTCCACAAAATCACAATGCCACATTAATTTTGCAAAACTCACTATCAATCCAAACACGCACTTAAACTATGGTTTCAAGAGCAACATCTATCTAAAATTTCAATTATGGTAATCACAATTTAAAACCTAAATACAAACACTATTGATGAAAAATTTCACCTATTTACAATCATATAATGCTAATTCCCAAACCAAACTGAATGTATGCATCAAGATAACGTTTATGAACTTAATTTAAATAAAAGGTTCGCATTTCCTTCTTCAAGGCCATTAAAGCAACCGTAACAAGATAGTAAAACCTAAAACACAAGGAGCTCGAATTAATTTAAGTAAATGTTAAAATCGAAACCCTAATCGAGTGGAAAAGGAACGGAACCTTTTGAGGAAGGAAAGAGGTGGTTGGAAGGAGACTGTGAGAGCGATAGAGTGGAAGAGATGGTGTGACTCTAAGATCGCCGAAAATCGCCATTGTTGACAGCTTCGGATTCTGCTATTCCAAACGGATTTTCAGTGCTTCTGTTCACTGTCGCTGGTAGTACCTTATTTGCCCCTCGATTCACCCGTTCAACACGTTATCGTTTTGCCCTTTTTGTTTTATTCAACTATGTTTTACTCCTAATCTATACTCCAAGTAGTTAGTTTCACATACATTAATCAGTAATTGCAATATCTAACTTATAAGAATAGAATATGTTCGGAAAAAGAAAAAAAAAAAATCATTCTTCCTTCTCAACATGCCACGTGTTTAGTTATCTATGTTATAGTAACGGCCATGTATGAGCTTCTATAACAAATGAAAAATGTATTGCTGAATTTTTTATCCATATACCCATATTTCACCTCATTATTTATTAATATACCCAACTTTTTAAATTAAATTTTATTTTACCGATGTTTCAAATAAAAATAAAAAATTCTTATAAAGGAGCGTCATCTCCTATGGAATCACCCTTATAATTATAAAGGGCGTCATCTACGATGGAGTCACCTTTAAACGATTTTTTAAAAATAATTTTTAATAAATAATATGTTAAATAATATTTATTAAATAATATTTAATAATTAATATTTTAAAAATAATAATTAAAAATTAAATATATTTAATAAATAATATATTAAATAATAATTAATATTTTTGTTATTTTCAGTCTCAATACCAACAATATCCACCACCATACCAAACATACTCCTATAATACTACAAACCAATTTAACACGGAGTATCAAACACTCAATCAACTCTTACCCACCCAAACATTTACACCCATGTCACCTTACGACCAAGGCAGACTATCGTCCTGACATTGCCTCATCGAGTCAACCACCCCAATATAATTATGTAGGCATGGGCAACCCCATTAATTTGGATGACTTTGCGAATATTAACTCATCTTCATGGGCCCAAATGATCCAATTTCTTAAAGACGACCCATTGGACCTGACTCTAGCACAAAGACCTAGTCGTAGAAATTAGTGTACCATATTTCCCCTATATACTCATTTGTTATTAAATGAAAATATTAATTATTATTTATTAAATATATTTAATTTTTAATTATTATTTAATTATTATTTTTAAATATATTATTTATTAAATATTATTTAATTGTTAAATATTATTTAATAAATATTATTTATTAAATATTATTTTTAAAAATTCGTTTAAAGGTGACTCCGTCATGGATGACGCTCCCCTTATAATTATAAGGGTGACTCCATCATTGATGGCGCCCCTCTTGTAATTATAAGGGTGAATCCATAGGGGATGGCGCCCCCTTATAATTATAAGGGTGACTCCATAGGGGATGGCGCCCACCCTTATAAGATTTTCTTTTTTGTTTGAAACATGGGTAGAATGAAATTTAATTTGAAAGGTTGGGTATATTGATAAATAATAAGGTGAAATATGGGTATATGGATAAAAAATTCTGCATTGTCTCACAAAAACAAATATTGTCTTTAAACTATGCTTTCAATATTATACATTATTTTGATTTGAAAAATCACAATACATTTTGCTTTTCTAATGTTATGTGCAAACGGCGAATTCGCTTCTTTCTCAATCTCATATGTCTGCTCCTGATATAGTTGCTGAGTTCTTCATCATGCCCTCTTTCTTTTCTCCTCCATATCACAAATTTTCATTCTTTTTTGAATTCATTCAACTGCATACTTCATTTCTCCATCTTACATCTTCCATTTTCTACATTCTTCTTTGCAAACATTTTATTTTATACTCAACCGTTTCTCTGTTTTTTATTTCATTCTCCCATTTTTCATGGTTCGACATTTTGAGACGATTACCAATATTAATGACACAAAAGAACGGTAGAAGATCGGAGTTAAGGTGCACAATGACAGATTTTGTTTGGTATATACAATGTATGATTTTGTTTTGTTTTTGTTACAGAAATGTTAGCTATGGGAAAAAGCCAACGATAAAGTCATTGGATCTGCAACGACTTCTGGTGGAACCACCGGATCTAAAATCTAAATTATCGAAACAACCAGATTTTATATAAAGTATCAAAAAGAAAAAGAGGAAACATGTCTCTTCAATAGAAAAAGTGAAATGTTGAAAAGGTTTAGTTTTACAATTTCTTTATCTGAATTTTCTCCATTCTTCCTTGCTTGAGCTTTAAAAAATATTTCTATTTTCATTTCAAGTATATGAATTTACAATAATAGTATTATTTTGTTTGATTGTTTTTGAGATCAAGATTTGATTTTTTTTTATAAAACAATCAGTACCATGTAAATCTAAATGTTTTAACATGGTATTCCTCCATCTTTCTATTTTTGATAGGTCATTTTTTTTCAATTTACAAATCTAATTTGTAAAATTGGTTTTGCGAAAATCAGAGAGGGTCTGAATATTTTATTTCTTTTCCTTTTTTCAAATATGTTTTCTCTTGGCATGCAAAAAAACAAAGAATAATAGATTAAATGGATTGGATAGATATGTAGCATTTATTTATTTATCTATTTATTACTTATCTTTGATCTTCATGGTTCATGTTTAAGTTACTTTTGCAATTGCAAGAGACTGATTTTGTGACTTGAACCCGTTGTCTCCTGTCTTACGACAGTTACACCAAAGCTTTCGTGGGTTTTGAAAATCTAACTTTTCTGTTATGTTGTTATTGTAGAGGCTATTCATAAGAGAATGGTGGATATGGCAAAGGCATAATCAACATTAAATGGTTTACCTCTTATATTCTAAAATAATAGCCCAGTCCGGAACAATAGCCCCCCAAGTCGTCGCTTGCGGCCAGGCGAGCTATGACTTAAGTAGGGGAAGACTTTAGGCAGGATGCGAGGAGGTCGTTAGGCTCACAGAAGTGCCAACCGGCAAAGAGGGGTCGGGCTTATAGGTCGGTCGGGCGTATAGCCTAGTCGAGCAAAAAGACGTATCAGACTCGTGGTCGGATCAAAATATGAGGAGGCGCCAGGAAGATGGAAGGTCGATACGCGTCTTCTTGGGATGGCTAGGGGGCTAGGTACTCGAGTACCTAACGACGCTTTGTTTCCCGTGCTAGGGATATATATTCGCTGACTTGGCTCGTCTTTTCGCTCATTCGCTTTTCGCTGCTGCTCAACCTCTCAAGTTTTTGCTCGACGCTTGGAATTTCTCTGCCTGACACCTGGAATTTTCCTGCCCGACAGTGACCTTTCTGCATTTTTGTCACATAAGTCTCTTCGTCCCTCTTAGTATTTTTAGCTGTATATGGTGGCATTTCCGGTGGCTCCGCCAGGGTACCGCGGATTTTTCTGACGAATACGCTGGAGGATCCTTCAAAATTAGGTGGGGAACGTCCGTCCTCGGGCCTTGCGATGAGTACGGGATTGGCCTAGTAAACCGTTGGTTTTGTGCCTTTATCTCCATAGGACCTTTGGGATGATTTAGGGATGTTTTAGGGGCATTGGGTAAGTGAATCGTATGAGCATTTGGGTGGAAATCAGTTCTGGTGCGTAGAAGATTTTGCTGTCATCGCACAGTTCGCCTAGCGAACCATGTTGTTCCCAGACTCGCCTAGCGAAGAATGATTCGCCTAGCGAAGTAACTCGCCCTAGACTCGCCTAGCGAACGTAGCAGAGTTTCACGAATGTTGATCGTGTGGAGCGATGCCTTGATGTTTGATTCTGTGATTTCTGTGATGAATTGACATGAGTATGACAGTGGGTTTTATGTGATGTGTACATGATGACATAATGATTTCTATGATGTATTATGATGATATTACCATGATTTTTATGAATTAAGTGATAACATGAGATATAATGATTTATCTGATGATGATGAATGATGATGCACCATATGCTGTTATTATAGGGATGATTTGTGACGTGTGCATCATGCATTCATGTGCATCCAAACTTTGGTTCAGGACCTCGATTACTTTATCTTTAATCCCATTGTGTGGATGTGAAGTGTTTTGATGTGCTCCAGTTCTCTAGTAGAATCGATCCTATTGATGGAGATCTATGGAGGGTTGATGGCCCAGTGTCCATCGAGCTGTGATGATTGCTACCACATGCATTGAGTCTTGTTGCATTTCTCTGAGTCTTTTTGTATGAATTATGACGTTGTGGCCTTTGAGGCATATTGAGGAATATGAATGTGTTGAATATGATTATGATCCATTTATATGTTTATCTTCATACATTGATTATTATGAATTGTTTTACTCACCCTGCCTGTTTGAATGTTACCTCCACGTAGGTAACGTGCAGATGACCAAGTTTAGCCTTAGACGCCGGCGAGGAGTTATTTTTGAAGTTTTAGAGTCGTTAGCCTTTTTGGTTAACTTAGAGGGTTTTGCTCTGATATATAACATCGGGTTGGGTTCTTTGAGTTAAACTTTATACCGTTGAGTTATTTTGCTTACTTTCCCTTATGAGGAAAACCTTGATTTATGCCTTTTGAGTTCCGATGCTTTATGAAATTTGATGTATTTTGGGAAAACCCGTTGTTTACAGAGCCTTGACCTATTGTGATGATTTAGGAAATGTACGCCCTTTTAGTGGCTTTTATTGAGATTAATATTCTTACTCTGATATCTGTGTCATTTTACCTTAATAATTGTGGGGTAGAAAAGGGTGTTACATTAGTGGTATCAGAACAGGTCGGTCCGTCCGGCCTGGTGTTTATGTTGTTAGTCCCCTGTCAGTCGATAGTGTGAGAATATTATTTAATGAGTTGTTCTCTTCTAACCCTGTTGGTGGTTGCAGATGGCTGGAAGGAATGATCGTGCTATTGCTGATGTGTTGGAATCACTTTCCCAAGTGATGGCTTAGAATGGTGGACCTCTAGATAAGTTTCGTGCTTTGGGAAAGTTTCAGAGGAACAATCCGCCGATTTTTGTGGCCACTCATGATCCTAATGGTGCACAGAAGTGGCTGAAAGTGATTGAGAAGATTTTCCGAGTTATGGTGTGCACTAATGCTCAGCAAGTACAGTTTGGTACGC